AGGGATGCATCGATCAAAAAGCTGCTCTTTGATTTAAAACTGCTGTTATGACACTGTAAGGTTAGGAGGGGAGTCAGGAAAACACTGAGCAGAGAATGTGACAATGGCAGAGACAAACTTCTCAAAATCCTGTAATTTTATTATTTTATTATGGGCTCTCCTTCCACGGCAACTCAGCGCTCTAAACGTTCAGAAATGCTGCCAGTCAACATAAGAGACAGGAGAATATCTTGTACTAGCTACAGAAGATCAAATGTATCCCAGTAGAGTTGTTTTGAATGACTGGAGGAGGTGGGGGGGGGGAGGGTTATTTAAATTGAACTCAGCTTGCTAACTGGCATGAATGATTCACCAAGGTCTTTAAATCATTTTTCTGGATCCTCTCATGTATTTCTCACTAATCACTCTTCTCTTCCCTCATTTCCCACTGAATCAAGGGGGTTTATGCTTCATGCATCTCCAGTTCCTCTGTGCTGCTTCCCAGGTGTTGGCTTGGCCAGATCCTAAACTGACTCTTCCTCAGTAACTGGCTGGACTTTAGATGGTGCATTTCTCAGCTGTTATTCACATGCATTCAGCAAGACTTTCCTTTTCAAAGCATGATTTAGATCAAGTAATTTTTGTTTTCAGTGGTGCTGCATCATAAAATTAGGCAATTACTCTTGTAAACCTGTCAAGGCTCTAGGCAATTATCTGATTTAGAACATTTAAAATAAAAGGAAAATTCCACTTTCTCTTATGTGGTGTTTAGATGAATTAACCCAAGGGATATAGACATCCAGATAAAATCTGTTTTATTAGGTAAAGTCTGACTATAGTTGGGTCAACGTTCAAAAATATCCATGAACATATGGATCTTAAAATGAGCTTTACTTTGACTACATTCATATTCCTTTTGTGTTCTAAGTGCACCAATTAAGAAAGTTTATTGGCAGAGATATTTGATAAAAGAGGGAATTTTCAGCCATTACTGCAGCAACTTTACAGAAAAAATTGTCATCATCATTAGTGTTTTCAATGGAAAAATGACTCAGTGTTACAGTAATGCAGTCAGAACGCTACTGAAACATAACAAGTCCATATAGAGCTTGAAATCTTTCACAAACGTTAGCAGGGGAAACAACTCCCATTAAAAGAATACAACTAAAAAAAAGATCCACCAAATCCATTGAAGTCCATCGAGCTGCTCTACAGGCAGCGACAGGGAAGAAGTAGGGAAGAGGAACGCAGTAAGCTACTGATGCTGCAATTATCTGGCAGCTGCAACCCAGCAAGATCAAAACCCCAAACTTGTTAGCCCTGAAAGTCCTGGTTGTGAGAAGCACTATTTCCTAAAGCTTTTATGACTACAGCAGTAGCAACAATACAGTCCTCAACTGAGAATTACTGATGTACAAGGAGAGACTGAGGGTACTGTTTGTTCAGCTTGGAGAAAAGAAAACTAAGGGTGAGGAGAGAATCAAATTACTGCCCTTCAGCTATCTGATGGAAGGGTATATGCAATATGAAGTCAGACTTTTCTCCGAGGCACACACTGAAAGGATACGAGGCAAAGGATACGAGTTGCAGCATGGGAAATTTCAAGAGGACATGAAGGAAAAGCTTTTCTTAATGTGAGATAGGTGCAGCACTGGGACAGGTACCGAGAATGGAAGCTGTGTCCTTGGGGATTTTCAGCGTTTACCTGGGTAAGACTTCAAGCAACTCAATCTGACTTTGAAGCGAAGCCTGCTTTGGACTCGAGGCCTTCGGAAATCTCCTCCAACCTTAGTTAGTCTACAGTTCTAACAAGGTGAGCCGAGTAGATGCAAGGCTGATTCACGCAAGATCAGTTCAGTCTGTCAACCTGAAGGCACACGAACAGCGCCTCTTTAGTGCTGGGATCACAGAACCTCCCTTTGGCAGAACGCGGTTACACGTGAGGTGAAGTTACTGCTGAAACGGAACTGACCGCAAATCTAGGAAGAAAAAGGGTAGAGTAGTTCTGCAGTGATGTTTTAGGCTAAATGGCAGCGTTTTCCTAAATTACCAGAAATCAGGAAGAATGACTAAAAGCTTTAAAACAAATCATGCAATCCTCCCACACACACAACATTCTTCTCGCCATTCGCCCCTATGATGTTACCTCACTCAGTGTGGACACCACTTAGGTTCAAATCGTGCTCCAAGTACAGCATCTGACCACACCAAGAGGCATCTTCGACAGCGGGGTCTGCTGCTGCAGGCGTCCTCTCTCAATCTATCATGGAAGCACCGCTTCTCGCTCTACACTAGCATCCACACGTACTTCACTATGACCACATTTTTCACAAAGCAGATGTACTGTTTCCCAGCCAGATTTACTTGAAAGTTCCTATATCTCCCTCCATCTGCTCCCCAAGCCTACGCAGGCAACAAACTGTGCAACCTTGTAATGATGATCTTGGCTCTATGCCTCCACAACAATAACAACCCCCCCCCCCAACCCCAAAACCCAGTCCTCCAGTTTAGCTGGTTTCTAACTTCTATAATTAGCTTCTCCAAAAAACACATGAACATAAGACTGTCTATATTTTTGATAAAGTCGGAGCGGTTATCCTAAAGAGAGCACAGGAACGTTTCAAAGAAATGAATGTTTCAGAGCTACCTTATGGACGTTTGTAATTTATAACAAGCTTCAAATATAGAAGACATGCCTTTAGTAAAAATGGAAACTGAACGATAAATGCGTGCTAGGGTTGTCGGAAAGGCAGAATATAATTTCCATTGGAATTTTACCTTTCCCTTCTTTCAGTCAAAATTTTAATATTTCTCCAAAACAGCAAAGTCTAATACCTTTGGAGGGTTGGACAGACCTCAAGGATTTCATTCAAATTAGATGAACATGTGAAGTAGGAACAGCCCTGAGGCACAAAACATTTTAAATCTAAATTTCAAATACCTCAGAATTTTGAAAGAGATTCAAGGTTCAGGGACTGACTGCTACAAGAGTGAGAAACAGAACTGACATGAGAATCAACAGAGAAGTTTGACATAATAAACACTCTTAGCATCTATAAATTTTAACTGCAGGTTAACTGTGAATCACAGACTGAAGGGGGAAAGTTTTGGCCTTACTTTTCCTAAAGAATCTCAATTTAAAATTATTTTTACCACCCCCACATTCTCCTGAATTTCACTGAGCCTAATTTCAACTGAATGCTCTTGTTTTAATCAATTATTTACCAAACCACTTTACCAAACTCATGCCACTTCTAGGAAGGTTTTTGCTAAACAACCCCGTAACACAAACAAAACCTCCCCACACGTCTGGATGAACGCTGGGGGAAGTCAAAGCTTTAACAAATAGATGTTATTGTCAAACTACGTACCGGTAATGAGAGTTGTTCAACAAAGGATGAGCATCCTACGAGGAAACTGAAAGCCCAGAAAAACAGAGCAATCAAAAGAAATGACATTCAAAAATAGGTTAGCAACAACTGTAACCTTATAGCCTCTCACCCATGCTGGAGTAAATAGATAATTGCTCATGCATAAACATAAGAATGGCTTAGGTGTTAATAAATAAAGGATTAAAATCTGAGAACATCCACAAACAATAGGACAAAATGAAAAGCCTATAAAAACCTCGTAGTAAGTACCCTGTATCATGCTCTGACCTGTTACAGTAACAGCCCAGTTCTGTGAAGCCTCTATGATTGAAAGCTAAGGAACCACCAGGCCTTCTCCTTCACTCTGATTTTAAAAAGATGGAGTAAGCCGTTGGTAAAATCCAAACTAAACATGTCTTCTTAAGGCTCACTTGAGTGGCACCGACTGCATGATGCAGCCTGATGCACGTGAGATGGAGAACTTACCTATTCCCCTAATTTCCATTCCTTATTTCTTCCCTAATTTCATCACTGTCAGAACTATTGCTATAAAAGAAAGAATCCAACCAGGTCTGAGAAGGCCACATCTGCCCACTTCAGTTAACATGCTCTTCTTAGCATATGCACATACGCCTGAACGTAAGCAAATGCCTGATCTATGCCCAATTTCAGTCTTATTCTTTACTCAAAACATTAATCATTTGCAATTTTTGTGTGGTTTCTGCAGACCCCAGTGAACTTAATTTTGATGTAACCAGTGTAGAAAACCCAAACAAGTGTGCACACTGCTTCACGGGAACTGATTAGCATCACAGTGTAACAAATACAACTATGCTTGAATTCCTACAGGAGCTTGGGATGGCCAGATCCTTCTACATTTGCTCTCAGCAAATACCCCAGCGTTCCTTTTTTAGCAGAAATACTCATAAGAAATCAGTTTCAGGATCTCATGGGTGCATATTTGGGACTTCAAAGACTATATCTGTACACACACAAGTATGTTATTCATGCCAGAACTGCTCATCCAATCAAGGAACGGAAATACTACCACTGTTTGTGGTTCATTTACCCAAATGCTCCTGAATACCACAACGGAAATTTAGAATAGTTGGGACCACTATGACAGTGAAAACATTCAAAAAATGCATGATAAACATTCTAGCATTACACTAAAAACCCTGTGCTGCTCTCAGAGGGGAAAAAAAAAAAAAAAGAAAAAGAAATGCAAAAGAAAAGCTTATGTCAAAAGACTTCCAAAACACCTGGAACGGTCACTGGCAGGAAGAAAAAAACTTTTGGATAAGAAGTGGATGAGGATCTGTAAAAATGGTGATGAAAGTCAGAATTTTATTAAATCATTGTCGAGAATATTATTTAAGTCTTCTATTAAACTACACTTCAACTTCACTTAGCCAAAAAAATATTCCTGCAATATGCAGTAAAAGGCATTATTTTGTTTAAAGTTTCTTTGTCATTTACTGTTAGCAGAACATGAGGAGGACCAGCCTTCAGAATAAGCTTCAGGAAGAAAACAAATCATGGATCATGAGCTCACTCTAGTGTTTTAAAGTAATACTACAGTGAAGCACTAAAAAAATCTTTCCTATCAGAAAATACTTAGGATTTTTCTAAGTAATTTTAGGTTCTTATATTAAAGCAACAACTTCCTTGCTGAAACTCGGATTTCTTGTGTTAGTATTCAGGAATTGTTTACTCATTTGGATGCCCCATTTTCTAATGAACTAAACATAATCAAGCGCTTCTTAGAGATGTGAGTTTTAAAGCTCTCTCACTAACTAAGGTCAAAGCAATGAACTACTGTTTCTTTTATAGAGCATAAGCTTTGCAGTATTTAGCACGGAGAATCCATAACCACTTGCTACAGTTAGGATCCCTCTCTACAGCTTCATAAGATGTGAAGCAGAAGGAAGGAGAGGAAAAGAAAGCAATAGCTAAAAATTTGAAGCACTCCATGTGGGATTTATAAGAAATTCCCACTTCATTCATGACCTGGTTTTCTAGAAACTGACTCATTTACATAAGTACAGCCTGGATGCGGCTACATATTGTGTATATTTTTCCTGCTCTTCCTACCTTATTTCCTATTTTTCCTATTTAGTATTTCCTATTTTATTTAAGTCCAAATGAAATAACACATTTAAAACATTAGATTTCATGTCATTAATGACGGTGCACTACAGGGAAAAAAGAGGGTTTTTTCGGCAAGGCAACTCTCTTCAGTCTTTCTACAACCAGGAGGATGGCAAACACCATGAGGAGTGAGATGGCATCCACGTCACTTCAACAGAAGCGTACAGCGGCTGCAAATCCAGGGAGAATGGGAAAGGAAGGAGACATCTCACCTTTGAAAACCACGATAGGAGAAGCTTCTCAAGGATGGACCGGAAACCTTCTGCAGCTTGTCCTCTGCTGAGGAAGAAACAGTTAAGCTAGGTGCATATTTCAGGGGAAGAAAACAGAGTTTTGCACCATGCAGCGTATTGTTTTCCAGTGAGTCCTCGCACAGAAAAAACTGAAGCTAAGATGGAACAGTACTCCGAAAATACACAGCTTTTTATGATATTTGTTTCCCCTGAGATAAAGGGGCAACTAGATAACACGAAGAATAAAAGCGACTGGTTGACAGTCGGATCTGCCAGCGTTAACTGTGTATAAAAGAAGCAGAATAACAAAGATTAAGGACAGCAAATATTATATAGCAGGATAGCACAGATTTGTCAGTGCTTGTGTCAGATGGTGGTAAGCAGTTCACATTGGAAGTCAAAACGCACTGCAAACACAGAAGGAGGAAAATCCAGGGATGGACTAAGGAATATGGGGGTGAAATTAAAGGAAGGACAGCACTTGGTTTTTTTTATTTTTCATAGCTTTAAAGGTCTCTGAAAGGCTGCTAAGGCAGGGCCTTTTAGTTGTCCTTCTTCCTCGTCATTTCTTCCTCAAAAAACCCACCTGAAGCAGAAAAATAAATAAATAAAAGATCAAGGCAACAATTTATTTTCTTGACAATGCTATGTGCAGAAAAATAAAGCATCTGTATTCTTTTGATTCACTACATTAAGCACATGCTGTATCTGAAGGAAAAACATTGAAAGAGGGAAAAATACGAAAAAGGAAGGTCTAAAAAGCGACATTATAGTCAGAGCATGTATTTTGTTTCTGTAATTGTATTCTGACATTACTGCCTTTTGTTCCTTTCTCAGGCCACGTGCAGACAGTATACTGCTGTTTAGTGCTGGTCCTGAGTTAATTATTTTCCTGACAATAGTTCCAATTATTGTTTAAATGACAAAACGTGCTCTTGCTTTTCCACGTGCTCATATTGCTATTACTGGAGATAACTCAGAAGTAGAAAAAACTTCCTCTCTGAGGCTTTCTGGTGCACAACACCGTAGAAAAAAATGACACGCACTACTTGTAAGGTTATGCGATAAAAAACTCCCCTCCACAAGCACGAAGGAGCCCAGAGGAACAGTGGCAGGTGGAGGAACGTGAATCACACCCGGCCCTGCTACTCCGAGGCCCATCACAGGAGAGCCACCAGCCCATTAAGGGTTCATCGCTACAAGCACAGAAGAGCATGGAGGCACAACGGTGGGGAGGTGGGGAATCCAAATTACCTGCTCAGAGGAATGGACACCCTGTCTGGCTCCTTCGGGGCTGTCCCAGGGCAGCATCAGCTCCATGGTCCAGGTCTAAGGACCAGAAAGATGAACCTACACGGGTGACTCTCCAGAGCACCTTTCGGCTGAGGGGGTCACTGCCTGGGGGAATGGGCCACTGTGGGATGCAAGGAAAGAGCATTTCAGGATTGCATAAGACTTATTTTGGGATGTTTAGGGGAGGAGCCAAAGGCAGGAAAAGAGAGGGGTCTAGGTGATTCGGGAAGGAACAAACATGGGAAACTAGAGGAATAAAGGGACAATCGGAGAAAGCTAAGCAGCTGCAGACCTCATTTCTCTCAGGGAACTTTAACACCTCTGCAATTTGCTGGTAGGGCAACATGACAGGCTGCAACTGACCACAGCGATTTCTGGAGTACAATAAGGAAAATATTTTAATGCAAGTGGTTAGGGTCCTAAGTGCACCAACAGACCTTTTTTGTCCTGACCAGCCTCACCTGCGGGCCTCCACCAGCACTCCCCGCCTAAGGGCCCAGAAGCTCCATTTAAACTCAAGCCTGGACCTTCAGCCCTTGCCTAAGCTATGTCATAGGCAGACCCGTGCCCCGATTTGTTGGTTGCACTTCCCAGTTTGGCCTCAGACCTGTCTCATCCCCTCATATTTGTCTGGCCACCATTAGACTGTCAATGTAACCTATTACTGTCACCAAGGCTATCCCCCCACCTCCCTTATACAGGATGCTGTATTTTTTGTAAAAAAGGGGTGGGGTCTACACAGATTACAGGGGTCTGAATGACATCATGATCAGGAACTGGCACCCTGTGCCTCTCATCCCAGAGCTCTGTGAACATCTGCAGTAGGCTCGCTGGTTCATAAAGCTGGACCTATGAGCGGTCTACAATTTGGCAGAGCTCTACAAATCTGGCAGGAAGACATGTGGAAGACCGCTTTTTACATCAGATATGGCCTCTACAAGTATTTTGTACTGCTATTTTATCCTTGCAAAGCTCCAGTGACCTTGCAACACTTCGTAAATGATGTTCCGAGGGAACCGCGCAATAAGTATGTAGCAGTATAGCTAGATGACATCTCGATAATTTCCACCACTTGAGAGAAGCACACAAGAAGCACCAAGAGGTCCTGCATCGCTTACAGCACTATCAACCATATGGCAAAGTCAAGAAATGCTCCTGCCGCTAGCAGAGTGCAGTTCCTGGAGTATCTGCTGGGCCAATGTCATTGTGAGGCCACTGTCTATCATCTCTGACAAGTTGTGCCACATGGGCAAAAGTTTCCAATGACTGCAAAAAGGCAAGTTCTATGTCCGTCTTCAAAAAATACAAAGAGGTTGTTCTGGGCACTTACAGGCTGGTCATCCTCACTTTGGTTCATCATCATCTCCATGGGAACTAAGTCCTCATGAACGAAGGACATGAGGTTACTGGGAACAGCCAGCGCACAGTTACTAACAGCAGTTTATGCCTGACCCACTTGATTGCCTTCTGTGGTTAAGTAACTAGTCCAGCGATGCTGTTTACCTTCACTTTAGCAAAACTTTGTAACCTTCTACGTGCCTACTTAAGGCTACTCTTACAGTGTTTTAACCATCGTACCCAACACACTCTTATCCTCAGGTCCCTACCCTGGTGAATTCAGAAATTGTAGTATCATTGTTACAAACATTAGGTAAGGCTTCTGGTAGGAAGCAATTGCCATTTATTGGCATTCCTTTATTCCCCCTCCCTTTTCTACCCCTCACTTTGTAGCTTTTAGTTCCGTATGAGGGGGATACTTTTCCCCAAAGGCTCAAATTTTTACAGTTAGATTTGATGTATGCCACTAGCTACAGACCCTGTAAATACATCTTCGTGCATATAAGCCTGTCTCAGAATCATTTGTGCATCTAACTTGAGGACTTAACAGTTATGTCCAGAGAAAACTTTGCTCAGCAACAACCTTGTTGCATTAGCAAAGGCAAAGCCAGCACGTCAAAGGAAATAATTCTCTTCTACAGCACTTGTGCAGCCTCCTCTGGAGCCCTGTGTCCAGTTATGAATCACACAATTACATGCGAGGTGTCAGGAAAGTGGACCGAGTCCAGCAAAGCGCAGCTAAGATGATTAAAGGGTTGGAGCATATGGCATACAAGAAGAGGATGAGCAACCTGAGTTTGCTCAGCCTGGAGAGCAGAAAGTACATGAGGGATCAGATTGCTGTTTTTCACTACCTAACAGATAGTTATAGTCAAGAGGACCCAGATTCTTTGACACAGTAGAAGGACAGAAGGCAACAGTCTCAAGTCGCAGCAATGTAAACCTCCATCAAAAGAAAATAATTCTACACCATGAAAGCAGTCAAGCACTGGAACAGGAACCCAGAGAGCCTGAGGAAATCTCCATCCTTGAGATTTTCAAAACTAAACTGGACATGCCCTGAACAACATGCTCTGACTTTGCAGCTAGTCTTGCTCTGCACAGGCATTGAATTAGAGATATCTAGCATTTCATTCCAAGTTTAATTATCTACAATCTCACTACCGCACTCAGGATGCAACATTTACTTCCAGCACAATCAGCTATGGCACAGTTGGTTACCGTTAGTTAACTTCTGTGCCGTTGATGGTTCCTGAAGAGAGGAAGGAACTCCTCAACTGAGGGAAGGGAGTCTGAAACACTCACCATCTTCAGCCTCCAGCAAATACGCGTTTCCTATGAAGGGGCTAGGTAGGACATTTTGTTCTGAATCAAGTGTTGGTTGTCCAGCCTGGGAAAAGAAGTTTAGGATGCAGTGTGGGTACTTACCTGCCAGGACTGGCAACTGAGCAAAATTTGTCCCCTTCCATGAAGCACGATGCATTTAGAATTATTCATGCTTTGCCAGAGGTTTGGGGAAAGAGGGATATTAACCAGACAGACAGAAAATCATAGCGCATGCTCAGTACCACCTAAGCAAATATTGTGCCTAACCAGACAGAAAATCATAGCACATGCTCAGTACCACCTAAGCAAATATTCTTGATGTTGCTCCTGAATACTTTCATGCTAGCATCAGCACACTTCCTAGAGCACATTCTGTACTGCTACGACAAACGGACCAGGTAGAGCTGCCTGCACACCCATCACAAGGTTCTCTCCTTTGCTACCAACGTAATTGGCAGGTATCAACAAGGTGCTTAAGGAACACAGGTTGTGTGCGTTGCCCTGGCCTTGTGGTGCAGGAGGCATCCACAATCCTTTGGAGACTAAGGGAGATATCTCGCAAGACTGCAAGCGTCTGCATGCTCACACCTTATCTTTCATCTGTTGGAGAGAGAGGAAGGGCTACGAGTCCAGGTGTGCTGTCTTGGAGTACTCTAAGATGTTTCGTGCTTATGGCCTGCCTTCAGCTGCCCTTTTCCCCCTTCATTTCTTTCTCACACTGTTGCACAGGAGCAAATCCCTTCTTAGACTATCCGAGCATGCCTTGACAGGCAGAGCACCCTCACTGCTTCTTGCTGCTTAGTCCCAGGAAAAATGTATGGATTTGTTCAGCATACCTGGTGCCCCCTCTAGACCGGAGTGATTTGAGGTCAGAATGGCACTTTGGTCACAGTGGCCTATTAACTCCTGCCCCCAAAAAACAGGTAACAGCAACTCTGCTTTCAGCACTGCATGAACTGCTAGGAGAAAGGAGATGCCTGCTCCTTTTGGCCACACAGACTAGCTCTACTCAGGAGGTCTGCATTTTGGGATGGTGGTAGGTAGACTCAGCAAGGGACGAATGGTCATTACCAAAGTCTTTCTGTTCAGGGAAATAGCAACAGTTGCTATGAAGAGCAGACAGTACAGGGAAGCTTTCTAAGTAGTAGGAAAGATGCACTTATTGGGAGTGCAGCAGCACCCTAGATGAATATACCCACATGTGGACCAGATGAATTACTATCTTTACATGTGTTATTCACAGAGCCAAAAAAAAAAAAGGGCAATGCTTTAATGTAATGCACTTTATAAAGGGAGCTCACACACACAGCACAAGAGCTTCAAGCTTTCAGGATCCTAAATAAACTATCTAAATTGCCACAGTATCAAGCCAATGGAGCTCGTTTCCATGGTAGTACGGGCTTATGAGCACTTCAATGCCCACACAATTGCTCCAGCAAACAAAGAATACATATCAAAAAAGGAAAAAAAAAATGTTTGGCTGAAATATAGTAATCTAAAATAAACTGTGGTGAAGCGAGGTCAGTTGATGTGAAGTGCATCCATCCACGGCCTCTGCACTCTCTCTCTCTCTCTTCTCTTGCTTTAAAAATTGTAGGAAGACAATGATGTTCTGTATGAGTCTTGTTATACACCAGGACAGCTATCCAGTAAGATGTGATGGAATAAAAAGGGGAAAAAACAAGAAAAATAGGCTATCGGCTAATATCCGAGAGTTGCGCAAAGAACAAATGACAAAGCGTAATGTTATCAAAAGCTGCGTGAATATTACAAAAACAGCCCTGCTGTTAAGTTGTATTGCTTGCATATTTCCAACAGGCTAATGAAGAACATTTGTTTTCAATTATTTTCCAGACATTAAGGTAAGATTACTGTATCTGCCTCCTGCTGCTTAACACCTTGCATTGGCAAATAGTCCCAGCGATCTCAACCAGATTAGTTCTTAACTATTTAGCATGCAATATTCCTAGGTGTATGACAAACTGATATTAGGAAGCAAATAGCTGCATTGTACCCAGAAGGTACATATGCCATTACACACACAGATAGTTAACAGTGAAGTATGCTTTGGGATATCCAGCAGTCTGTCAACAATAGGGCTGATGAAGAGCAAGACATCCATCACATTCCTTTGCAAAACATTACACAATATTAAAAATTACATAGCTGCTTAGTCTCAAGGACCTTAGATACAATTATAAAACTCAATGGTAGGAAAGTACGCCTTGTTTGCTTTAATTAGTATGTTTCTAAGAAATTTCTTACCTATGTTTCATACCTTTCCTACAACAGACAGCTGAGGTTCTCGTTAAACCCATACTCCTTTTAGAGAGGTAAGAACAAAAAACTAGATAAAGTTCCAGACTGAAACAACCCCATACCTCATTCTTTAGGAGTCATACAAATTATTGTATTTCATACTGTGTCTGGCATCTCTGTTTTTCATGTCTGTAACTCTGAAAAACGGTACAGACCTCTAGGGAAACAGCCAAGGCTACCACGGATTAAAAAAACTAAGGTTTTTTGTAGCTTTGTAATTTGTGTTTCCAAACCTCCCTGAGGCTGATGATCGGTCAAGAATGCTGGAAAAAAGCACAATACTGCTCCTTTACTTTTTTACAAAATGAAACAGCTTTTCCTTCCCACATCAGAAAGTTTTTAAGAAAAAGTTAGCCCAATAGCTTTTGGGTAATCCAAACAATTTGCAACAAGACGGTTATTAAAACAGATCTTGTGATTTAACATACTTTTTTAAATCACTCATAACACTATAAACAGAGTCTACTTGCGGATGAGGCAGAGTCTCCCAGTTTCAGGCAAAGAAACCGCAGAAAGCTACCTTGATAGTGAAGTGTCCCTAGGCTGGTATTTCAGGATGTTTTTTCGGAAGAGTGCAATCTTCACGCATCATTTTTGATAGCGTAATTTTTGCAGCGCTGACTTACAGCGGTTGAGCAGAAAAACAGTGCAACAGCCTTTAAGCATCAGAATTTAACATCTCATTCTTGTATAGCTTTCCACAATTTCTTGCTCTTACTGTTTTACTCTTCCAGTCATTTTTGTCTGATTTCTAACACTTAAATGAAAATAGCTTTGACACAGGCGACATCTTGGATCACATCTCCTCTTTAAGCGACAGAGACTCACTTGTCTACAGGGAGATGATGGAGCAGGCTCCTGTCAGACCTCTTTCTTAACTGACACCTATAAATATCCAACGGCCAGGGTGTGCAAACAGGGACTAAGGAGTTAACCTAACAGGCAGCCAAGAGGTGTTGCCCAGGAAGGCAGACCTGTACAGTGGTCAGATCTGCCACTGCCATTAAGTGGCAGAGGCCCAGACCTAAATGGAGCTCCTCAGGAAGGACAAGGTAGCTCTCAGGTTGCCTGGAGCACCAGGTCCCCCTTTCTGAGGCCACAGCAGGCACCGTGGTGTGTGCTCTTGTCAAACCACCCAACTTACAGACCTAAAATATAAGGGCTAGGGGGGAACTGAAATGCTTGACATCTAATAACCACCCAGTATTAACAGATATCCCAAAGACACAGTGAAAAGCAGGATAATCAATGGAATACAGCACTGCTACACTATCGACTTTACAAGAATGACAAAGCCACATGTATGGGTGGCAGAGTCTCACTATTTTTAAAGAATTATGCAAGCATATAGTGTAAGAGCATGAAGATGTTATAGCAAGAGAAGCACGGCAGAATTCTAGAGGTTGGAAATCCCATAAAATCCAATAGCAACATAATACTAGAACTACGCACACACTCCTGACCCCCATCAGGACAATGACACTGATCAGGAAATGATAAGTACAGAAACTGCCAATTTTGCACTGGTGGTAATAGCAGGAGTCCAATTACCTATGCAGAGAATGGATGAGCGATTCATCAGGATGAGATGCGGAAACAAAATTCCTAAAAGAACCTGTATTAGAACTCACATGAAAGATGCTATTTTGGATTTAGTCTCAAGTGGTGCTCAGGAATCAGTTCAAGTGGCATCACTGGGAGAACTCTTCCTTAGTAGTGATCACGACACAATCAGGTTGCTAGAGAAAAAGAGTGGGCAATTGAAAAGAGTTAGATAAAAATTGTGAAAGGAACAATGTAAACACAAGGCTATTAATCCAAAAAAAAAAAAAAAAAAAAGTTGAAAAGAATAGTCCAAGAAGCCTGCAGACAACCTAATGGCTACACAGAATACTGAATTATTCCTGCTGGGTACAACAGGGAGTTAAAGAGGCTGTCAGAAAGAAAAGGTCAGAATTTAAAGAAATAGAAAGCTTGCCCACGTGCAGAGAACAGAAAAGCCATACTACATGGCAGGTCAAATGTGAACAAAAAAAAAAAAAAAAAAGAGAATGGAAATGAATTTGAACAGCCTCTTATAATGGATGCTCAAGTTCATACTAACAAGTCCTGTAAAAGCATCAAAAGCAGCAAGCTAGCTGCTTTTAGCTAGCTGGTTCTTTAATCAACAGGATTGCTCCATGCAGGAGACATAAAAGGGGCACTCAGGGACAAGGCCACAGCAAAACCACTCGGTGAATTCTTTGCACTGGTCTCTGCCAACGAAGACCTTGAGAAGATTCCCACACCCACCGCGTTCTTTGTAATGGTTCAATTTCAATACACGAGAAATATCAGATCACATAAATAAATTAATGTTAGGGTAGCATTCTTTCAAACACAAAACTGCAGAACTGCTGGCAAAGATGCACTATCCATCACTACAAACCGCTGCTGTGCCAGAGGCCTGCCGTGCTGCTAACATAACTCCTATCTACAAAAATAGCTCGGGATGGTACCTGTGAATTATGGGCAGCCGAACAAGTTCTTTGGCAAGGTGACAGAGCCCATGATAAAAAATAAAATTACTGAGCATGTGCACAAATATGGTCTGTGTCAAAAGAATTAGCATTGCTTTTGTAAAGGGAAATCCAGCCTCACTAGGCTGCACATGAGAGTGACACATATGAGGGTGTCAATTAGCATCTGGGTAAAGGGAATCCAGTGATAAATTTGTGCTTTAAAATAACTCCTCCTTATTAAGCTATGCTGCCTCAGGGTTGGGAAAAAGGTTCTGTTATGGGACTCAATATTTCCTGTTCTTTAAAGCTTAATAGTCACATTTGAAAACAAGGAGAAATTAAAGTAGGGTTGCTTGGGGATCAATGCTGGAAATAGTGTTATTCAATATCTTCACCCGTGACTTGGAGAAGGGAATACACCGAACCATCTCCAAGTCTGCAGAGGACATGACACTTCAATGACAAAGACCTCCAAGGATCTCGCAACACAGAAACCAAAAAATGGCAGATGAATTTTAATATAGATAAACATGAAGTAATGCATCGAGGAAAATAGTCTGAACTTGAAAGTGGCTGTTAAAGCTCAAGAAAGATCTCGATGTCATCACTAACAGTTCTCTCTTCAGCGGCAGAGTCAGGAACAGGGCTGGAGTCCTAGCACGAAGCACACTTTGGGCAGGGCATCCATGGCCACCAACATAAAACAGCTAAAACATGTTTGGTAGAGATAAGTGAGCCTTAGATCAGGACTTGGACTTTCACAATAACCCCTGAGAACACACAATGGATGTTAGATGATCAACACCAACTGCATTGCTCTGCAGATCTGCTCCCACTACTAAGCTACTTCAGAACACCAATCAACATTAGTGCTTTATTTTGGTGTGGGAATGTATCTATCTAGTGCCTTTCACCTTGAGCACACTTCAGAAGCAACAACTCTTCCAGTTTCCTTGGGCAATACTGTTTCCTACTATGTATTTTAATACTTTCCCAGTTTATCAGCAGTATTTCCTATGTTCTTTTTCAAGGTAACTCTAAAATAGCGTACAGACAACACAAAATATGCTACACTTTTAAACAGAACATACAATTACAGCATTGAAATGATTTTTCATGAATATCTGCACTAATGAGCCACGCTCAAGCTAAATGCATCATTTGCTCAAAATCTAAATTCTATAAATTGAAGTGGGCGTCATAGTCTTCAAGAGCTTAAGTAATGCTTTAAAAGAATCTGTCAATTATTTAATAGAAATGCTTTCTTGGCACAGTGTTGCAGACCTATGTCTCACATCCAAGGTTAATTTAATGCTTAAAATGTAGCATTTCAAGTACTGCCACATGAAATAATTTAGCTTGAAAAAAGCATGGAGAAAAAGGAAAAGCAATTATTCATGTGAAAAACAGAAAATGAATCACAAAGGAGAGAAAATTGTATCTATAGAATGTAGACATGCAAAGATCAATCCATTATGCTACGCAACACAAAGAAAGGAGATTTAAACTGTGGGGTAAAATTATAGTTACATACTAGATATATATATATATTTTTTTAAAACACAAAGAAAAATCTGGCCAAGTCTGCTGCTACACCTCCCAGAAATCCTGTTTGAGCCTGCCCAGGTACACCTGAATTGTTAACACATGCCTCTTCTTACAAAGGCCTCGAACGATGGAGAACATACACAAACACTTGGTAGTCCCACATAGGCTCACGTGCCCATACAAGGGCCATATAGACAAAGCCTGGCAAAACAGAGAAAAGTAAGGTCCAGAGACAGAGCGATCATCAGGAAGAAGTCCAGACACTTCACTTTTGCCATGTCGATGAACCTGGATCAAGATAGAAAAAAGAAAAAAATAGAGATGTCCCATGGAGGTTCAAAGGCCAGTTTCATCCTGTTCTCAGGACATTTCAGCAAGTCGCTCAGAATCCAAACCACTCCTCCAGCGCAAGCTGGTAAAGCTGCCCGTAATACTTACAACCAGGATTCTAGTTCAGAGATCCCACCTTGGAGGTAGCCATCTGTGTTCAGAACCCCAGAGCCAGATGACAAGACCGAAAACCACTTCCTGGGCCAGACAGGTTTGTTGCTTCCCAGGGGCTTGGATCTGGGATGCTAAGGAGAGACTGCCAAGGCACCGTCAGACCCTGGACACTCGTCCATTCACATGGCCAGTGATCATACTGCCAAGATGTACCCTGAGTGTGTCAAGACTGATCATACATCCATGGGAGTGAGCGTGGAAGGCATGGAAACCCAGGTGGTGCTTGGTGCTTCTCCTCCATCTTGCTGGTGAAGTGGAAAGACTTGAGGAGAAGCAGAAAGATCCTGTGAGTCAACATATGGTTACACAGGTGCTGCCATAGACAGAGACTTGATTTCTATGACCACCAGACCCTCTGAGGATTGAGGACTTCTGCAGAGAAATAGGACTCATCTGAAAAAGTCAGGCAAGCACACTCCTGCCAACGGCCTGGTTTACCTGCTGAGAAGAGGTTTAATCTGTAGTAGCGCTTGGAGATTACAACCCACAGTTAAGTGAGGAACCAGTACGCAAAAGTAGAAAGAAAAGGGTGCGGGGTAAAAGGAACAAGAAAGATCACATGAATGACAAAAACGAACAAAAGAAGGCCCACCTCCAGTGTATGCACAGAAGCTCTCTGGTTGAGAGCTTGTGGGTCACGATCAGAGAAGAGGCCAGTAAGCATAACATCATCATTGGATTACGCTACAGATCACCCACACTGGGTCAGAAAGTGAACAAACACTTCTTTAAACAACTGAAGGATGTCTCTGAATCACAGACTAGTTTTTGTGGGGGACTCAACACAGAGATGGCTGACCCTAAGCTCTGAATTGCGGTCCTGGTCCAGCTTCATGGGCAGCTCTACCGGCTTGCACTGGAGGTGGTTATTCTTAAATACTTGCCAGCTTCCCGGAACAACTTTACTCTTCAGAGATGCCTACCCTGAGATCCCATCTACCAGTTTCCTAAATAAGATGAGGTCTGCTGTCCTTAAAGTCAGGGTCCATGTTCTGCTGTTTGCCCTCCTCATTACCCCTAGGATCCTGAACTGTACTACTTTAAGGTCAGTACTGCCAAGGCTGTCATCGATTGTCACATCCCCATCATATCTTCTTTGTTAGTGAAAATCACATCCAATTGCACATGAGTCCTGCTTGGCCTACCGATGCCTGTATCAAGAAGTTATTCCTGACATCCTCCAAAAATTCACAGAATGACAGATTGGTTGTCTCCCTCCCCATTGGCCTTCCAGCAGATGTCAGGGAGAGCACAGTGAACCTGAAAAAATGTTTTTGGCAGCAAGGATTTCTTGTTCAGCACCCTAAAAACCAACCAAGCCCTTTCCTGTACAAATCAGTCACTCTTCCAAACCCTTATGAGCCCTTATTTTTTTAAAATGTAGTATTAGCTTCATTAGGACAACCTCTTGTTTTGTTCACAAAAATCAAGGTGGAAAATTTGATGTATTTCACATTTAGAACATTCTTTATGCATTCCACTTTCTCCTTTAACATAAATGAAATATTCTGCATTTTTCATAACACAGACAGGAACATTAACTAGATGCATAAAGGCCATTGTAAAATAGCATACAAAACATTATGCTTAAGTGCAATGATGTTCTCTGCAGTATACCGCAAAGAGCAACAAGGCGAGCCAACAAACTGCAACGCAAATAATGAACACGTAACTTGTTCTAATTTCTTTGCATACAGACCAGATTCTTTTTTATTTCAAATTCTCTTTCGGGAAAGAAAAAAACAAACAAACATCAACAATTAACTGCAGGTGTCTTTTGAAAGCCAGACTTCTTTAATTCACTGTGCATTACTCACTCTGGAAAATAATGGTATTTGCAGACACCACAGTGTTCAAAGAACACTTTAAGGACCCTTTCCAGAGCTCACATTTGCTGGATTGTAACACCTCCCTTTGACCACTAATTAAAAGAATGTTTCTAACCCATAAAAATTCAGTAGCTGCTGGTGCTAAATTGGCCAAATTAAGCTATATACCCCACACCACCCAAGCTGCCATGTGAACGGCGAGCTCAAAGCATCTGCAGTCACTGACTGGAATCCTGAAACCTGGAACGGTGATATTTGGGAGTTTGAAGACTGCTTAAAAACACAAGCCTATCAATCTGCTCCATCTACTGTAACTAACAGAACTAGGCAGACAAGAGTGCCATTCCCCAAAATGTG